GGGAATTTATTGGAGCGCAACGAGAATTTTTTTCAAATTGTAAATATGCCCGCCCAAAAAAAATAAAGGGCGGGATTCCAAGTATTATATTATGCAACTCCGGAGCCGATTCTAGCTATAAAGAATTTTTGGAAAAACATGAACACACCGGGCTCCAAGCGTGGACGATCCGAAACGTAGAATTCTACACAGTCAGTCAGCCCCTCTTCGCCAGAACCGATCAAGAAGAGGCATCGCAATGAGAAGAAGAAGGCCCAATGTAGGAAGATATTCCACTTCCCATGCGGCTGTTCTATATTCCACACGAACGGATGTATCGAACCACATCCACTGGAGAGAGTGGATGCTATCAGGGGTCTTCTACGACACTGTGAAGAACCCGATACATACACTTACAATTAAGACCATATAATTTTCTTTCTTTTTTTGTATGTCGTAACCAAAATCAAGATGTTGCAAAAAATGATAATTTAAAAGCAATCAAGAAGAAACTACTTTATTTCTTGGGACTCCTAAGTGCCATTTTGTTATTGATTAGAAAAAATTAATGAAAAAATCAATTACCACACAACCAACAGTGTTTAATAAAGTTTTATCTTCAATTCTAACAAATTACATCAATTTTTTCCCTTCTTGGATCAGTGTATCAAACCTATTGGATTTTATAACCCCAGATGCGAATATGAAAGCAAGAGATGCCTCAAAGAAGCAAGCTCGTGCAAAGGTCATAAATTCCTGAATCTTGACTGTTCTCTGGATTTGCTCTTACTTAACTCTTTACTGAGAAAATTTGTACTTTACTTTACTCTTACAGGTTAAAGGCAAACCAGGCCAAACCTGGGAAACAATCACAGATGAATATCAGAAGGATGAAACATTATCACCTAGTCATGTTGTTACAGAGAACACTAGAGATAAAGAGAACAAACCTGAATCTCACTTTGCAGAATCTATGGATAAGAAACCTGATTTTAGTCTAGCAGATTGGACGGTATTGAATCAAAACAATGACATGGCACGAGATGAAACATCCGATGAAGGATGGCAAGAAACTTTTCCAAAAGGTCGATTAACTGCAAGTCGCAAGTCTTCTGGTTCGAGAAGGCCGAGCTTGGCAAAGCTAAATACTAATTGCAGTCAACGAGATACCGTGGAAAGCCCACTAATTTCACTTCTCCAAAGACACTGTCAAATGAGTCTGCTACTTCAGCTGAGTCTGCTTCTCCTGTTCAGAATAAGTTTGCTAAGAGTGCAAGCTTCAGTCCAAAATTAAGTAATTCGACAACCCCAGCTACCGGGACTGAAAAGTCCGCTAACACCAAGTCAGCCCCAGCAAGTCCAGCCTCAGCCTTGACTGATCAAGCTGCCAAGTCTGCTCCAGTGTTAAGTTCAATCAGTGTTCAGGCAACTGAAAAACTTTTTTAATTGTAAGTGCATGTATCCCGTGGGATGAAAATATTTACCATTTTGTTTTTAGCAGTTTCAGTTTGAATAATTTTCCCTAGACTTCGGTGATTATATGCCTGCAATAATCTATTGTTGAAAGTCAACCAAGTTTATTAAGCTTCTTGCATATTCAGGTCGAGCGATGTTTGTTGGAAAGCCAATTATGCCTGGTCGAACAGAGGTATGACTTTTCTTAACACCAATTAAATACCCCCGGAAATAGAAACCATTTCGATTCATTTTTTGAAAGATTTTAAATGAGTAAAAAATAAAGTAATTAACTTTTTCATTAATTTTTTCTAATCATTTACAAAATGGCATTTAGGAGTCCCAAGAAATAAAGTAGTTTCTTCTTAATTGCTTTTAAATTATCATTTTTTGCAACAGCTTGATTTTGGTTACGACATACGAAAAAAGAAAGAAAATTATATGGTCTTAATTGTAAGCGCATGTATCCCGTGCGACGAAAATATTTACCATTTTGTTTTTAGCAGTTTCAGTTTGAATAATTTTCCCTAGACTTTGGTGATTATATGCCTGCAATAATCTATTGTTGAAAGTCAACCATGTTTATTAAGCTTTTTGCATATTCAGGTCAAGCGATGTTTGTTGGAAAGCCAATTATGCCTGGTCGAACAAAGGTATTACTTTTCTTAACACCCATTAAATACCCCCTGAAATAGAAACCATTTCGATTCATTTTTTGCAAGATTTTAAATGAGTAATTTCCTCATTTACAAAATGAGGAAATAAAGTAATTAATTTTTTCATTAATTTTTTCTAATCATTTACAAAATGGCATTTAGGAGTCCCAAGAAATAAAGTAGTTTCTTCTCTATTGCTTTTAAATTATCATTTTTTGCAACAGCTTGATTTTGGTTACGACATACAAAAAAAAAAAAAATTATATGGTCTTAATTGTAAGTGCATGTATCCCGTGGGACCCTAGCAGTGATGATTTATCATCTGAAAGGTTACTTTCCTATTTTCGAAGGCTAGGACTTCATCATGTAGTTTTCCTTTGTTGATTTCTTCTGATGGCCTTGTTTAATTCTATGATTTTGCAGCTTGATGGAGTCACCTACAAGATCGGTAGATCCATTGCTCAATTCGTACAGTGACTACGAAGACAAGGTCTATGGTGATTGCTGCAGTGTTCATTATTCTTCTTCTCTACATATTTGCATATTCAGGTCGAGCAACTTCACAGAATTTTCAAACTTTGTGGTTCTCCTTCTGAGGATTATTGGAAAAGACTGAAGCCACAAGCAACCTTTCGACCACCACAACAATATAAACCCAGTTTTCAAGAGGCCTTTACAAACTTACCTTCCTCTTCTTTTAGTCTCTTGACCTCATTGCTAGATCTGGAACCAGCATACCGAGGCACTGCTGCTTCTGCTCTTCAAAATGAAGTGAGTTTAAATTGAATCTACGTTCATGTTTATCATTTAGTGTTTGATTTTTCATATGCTGTGCAAATTATATATAGAGACAGGGACATCTTCCATTGCATAGCTGCCGGTGAATTTTCGACAAATGTGGAACCAACATAAAAGGATATGTTCATCTCGTGTTTATCTTTTTTGTAATGTTTTCTCGTACACTTATCAGGTATGTCAATGGAATGAAATGTTATACTTCCATAGTGTCTCTTTCTAGGTGGAAATCGTTGGAAGTTTGTAACTAGAAATAGCTTGCTTATTGGCTGTATTATATCCAAGGGACTAAAAGCTTTCACATGATGTTAGGTTGATCTAGAAGTTGAATCTCTTAAGTCTAAACACTTGTATGAAATTCTGCAATGCTAAAAAAGTTCTCTCTCTTTCATTCTTGTTCTTGTTTATGCTCAGTCCTCTGACTCTGTGAGTTACATGTCTACAAAATGTTGAATTTTGTATTCTAAGTAGTTTTTCCTGTTTACAGTTCTTTAATTCAAGTCCATTGGCATGCAACCTTTCTGGTCTACCCTCAATGAATAAAGAGGAGGATGAGGCGATTCTGACCAATGATCAGAAGAAGTATGTTTATCTCTTTAACACTTGAAGTTTTCATTTTTTTCCCCATTTTTTGCATATAATATGATGATCAGGACGATTATCTACTTAGTTGCATAGTGACTGAAAAAGATTTGTTAGATTTTGTTTAATATGCATGGATTTCTACTTGGAATATAAATCTTAAAGAGAACAAAATTGAGTCTTTCATTCTGTTCAACACAAATATCAATATAACGAAAATGTAGTGATTATTAATTTTCCTTTTTCCTATGTTCCCTCCTGGTAAGAAAAAATGGTTCTTCGCAGGATTAGCCATTGCAAAGTGTAAGATCACTGCTACAGCTTCTACTACTATGCAAGTTATTTGTTTGGACTTCTTAAATCGTGACAAGAAGAAATACACTCATATGAACAGAAACAATTCTGTAATATGCTCAGTAACATAGACACAACACGGCGATTTTCCAAAAACAAAGGACATGATACAATTGGGGCACGTTAAAAAAATTATATTTTTAAGAAGTTATTATATGTTAAATATATGAATAATTTATTCAATGATAATGAGAAAAAATAAAAAGAAAAAGGAAAAATAAAAATACACAACACTAAATAAAATTAAAATGCCATATATTCCCTAACTTAGAGCATCTCCAACGGTGAACTTCTTTTTTCACCAAATTTGAGTAAAAAAATCACTCATTTTCTCAATTTGATATCACTGGCTCCAACGGTGCATCAAATTCATCAAATTCCCGTGGGGCAACCGGTTAGTCGACCGGTGGGTCGACTGGTTGGTCGACCGGTATGTGTAATAAAAAAAAATTTAAGCCTTTTGAACTGTTTGAACCCACCTTTGTGAACTGGGGACGGGGCGACCGGTTGGTTGACCGGCCGGTCGACCGGTTAAGAAATTATTTTTTTTTTTTTTTTGGTTCCCTCCTTTTCCTGTTCCCATTTCTTTTCCTATTTATTTTTCCCTCCATTACTCCTTTTCTATTCCCATTTCTTTTCTTATTTCATTTTCCCTCCGTTACATATATGTCTGGCATATGGATTATGCTCTCCTATAAACTCGTTATCCAATAATGGCAGACAACTCCACACAACTGATATGATCATAGCTTAAACAAAAAGAGCATAATGAATACGTTCAAATCCATGATATTGACTTCATTTTTATCCTCCTCTTCTTCTTCCTCTTCCTCTGATGATGAGTCTGATGAGGAATATATCATCACACTTTTAGGAGCTTATAAGTAGAATAATAGTAGTATGCTTCAGATTCTGTTGTCAAGTGATACCTCAAAGAAAATAGGTGGTTCTGTTGTAGGCCATAAGTATATACGCTGAAATAGAAGGCAGGGTCATGATAGATTGTTTGCAGATTATTTTGTTGTAAATCCAGTGTATTCACCTAGAATATTTCGGAGACGTTTTCGAATGCGTCGTCCTTTGTATCTGCGAATTTTGAATGCAATCCAAGCACGCAATTCATACTCTGTTCAAAAACAAGATGCAGTTTATGTAGTTGGATTATCTCCCCTACAAAAAATGACTTCAGCGATGAGAATATTGTCATATAGTGTTGCAGCAAATGCCGTTGATGATTACATACGTATCGGGGAAAGCACTGCAATTCAAAGTTTACAACAATTTTGTAATTCAGTGATTGAAATCTTTGGAGTAGAATATCTGAGATCTCCGACACCAACTGATATTGCTAGATTACTTGCTATTGGGGAGGTTCGGGGGTTTCCTGGTATGTTGGGAAGTTTAGATTGTATGCATTGGGAGTGGAAAAATTGTCCAAAGGCATGGCAAGGTCAATATGTAGGCCATCAAAAAAAGTCAACCATTATTCTTGAAGCAATAGCATCTTATGACTTATGGATTTGGCATGCATTTTTTGGAATGCCTGGCTCACACAATGACTTAAATGTCTTGGACTGATCGCCTTTGTTTTCTGACCTTGCGTAAGGTAAAGCTCCCCCTGTTACGATATGGGTTATTACCTTGCTGATGGTATATACCCTCAATGGGCAACCCTGGTTCAAACAATTTCTTCTCCCCAAGGAGCAAAGAGACAACATTTTGCAATGATGCAAGAGTCTGCCAGGAAAGATATAGAGCAGGCATTCGGAGTCCTTCAATCTCGATTCGCAATTATAGGTGGTGCTGTATGTTTTTGGGATCCGAAAATTCTTGCCAACATAATGAAGACTTGCATTATATTACATAATATGATTGTCGAAGATGAAAGGAACGAGCACCTTGATTTCGATTATGAAATTTCATCAACCAACACACCAGTGCAACTTTATTCTACTCTAACCAATGACTTCCAATTATTTTTGTCTCATCATTTAGGTATTAGAGATAAGGATGCATATCATGCCCTCCGTAATGATTTAGTAGAACATATGTGGCATCTTCATGGTGAACACTAAATTCTCCACATCAATACATGTAATTTTGTTTATAGTTTTGGAATGGAAGGTTGTCTTGTTTGTAATCTTCATTATGATGCCCTATATTAACTAAGTAATTCAGAAGTTATGTGATGATGTGCTGTTGTAATGATCCAATCTTTAATATTCACAATTGTTCTGTGTTCGATTAATGACAATTACAAATGATAATAATCATGTCTCACTCAGTTAAATAAATTTAATAATCATGTCTTAATGAATGTGTTCAATTCAGTGTTGATGTGCCACAAATGGTAAATGTCTATTGCAATGCATTTAAAATTAAAAATGTTAATAATAACCAATCTAAAGCCATGTAATAGTAACCAAGCCATGTAATATTAACCAATCCATGTTTGATAGAAGTAATATTAACCAATCCATGTAATATTAACCAAGCCATGTAATATTAACCAATCTAAACCTGTTCATTATCTTTATTTAATGTTTGGGATGTAAAAAAAAGAAGTTAGTTCTTTAGTTATCTCATTGACCCCTTCCCTGTTTGATAGAAGTTTGAATGTTGTTATCTTTGCTCCTCTCTTTTTAGATAATGTAATTGATGCATACATTTGAAGTTTTATAATTCTGCGAAATCAACTGTGATTTGATTAACCTTTGTAGATTTTGAGATTTATAGTTGAAGCAATATGTGTGATTAACATATTATGCAAAATTTTTTGTATACTGTGATTTTAATTTTAATTGATAACTAAAAAATAAAGAATCTGGGATGTTCTTACCAAGTATGAAATTTAAATGGACACACTCAAACGATACAGTCATGCAAGATATAGTAATTAATATATCAATTAGTGTATTCATTTATATTAGAGCATTCATAATGAATGTGTTAAAAATGTGTTATATGACAAAAAGTGACAAAAGTGGAGCTACAAAATATGTGTTAAGAGTTTGTTAATTTGTTAAAAAAGAGTTAGTTTGTTAATTTGTTAAGAGCTAAAAAAGAGTGTGTTAATAAATATGTGTTATGACAAATGATAGATGTGTTCAAATATGTGTTAAATATATAACAAAGACTGAATTGTGTTAAATTAAAAATGTGTTAATTTTATAAATGTCTTCCACATATAATGTCTGCAATTACTTATCCTCACTTGAAATGCATTCAACATATTACATATGTCTTCAATTATTTGTGCACACAACATATGCCTTCAATTATTTGTCTTCTATTATAATGTCTTCAATTATTTGTGCACACACTAAACCCTAATGTCTTCAATTATTTGTGCAAACACTGCATGTTTGAACCACCTACCATCCATTTTACATAGCACCTATCATTCATTGAATTCATTCCACCTACCATGCCTCATTTTACACACTGCATACGGTTGTTGAGTATTAATTTCCTCACCACCTGCCTCAATAAATCACCCTCTATATGAGCTCAAGATTGTATACAAACCTACCATCAAAAAATTCACTCTATTCACTGAGTACCTCTGCCCACAGATTGCCTCTCTGTATTTGTTCACTGTATTCCCTTCACCACTACCTTCAAATTCGGCTTAACCAAATTCTAATCCCAAACTCTGCATATTCACTCTAGTGTCAGTTTGAATTCACAGAATCAGCAAGGGAAACCATCTGAATCAATAAAGGCAACATCACCAGGAACATTAACAACAAGGCAGCATCCAAGGCAGCATCCAATACAGAGTAGGTTGCATGAATGCCACCGGTCAACCGGTTGGTCAACCGGCCCTTTGTTTTTTTTTTTTTTTTTCCTTTTCAGTGTGTATGCTGTATTTTCAGTGTGTATGCTGTAACTGTATGCTTTCTTTCTTCAAACTATATTCATGTTCAATATTTCAAAAATTAACCTTTTGAATAGCATGAAATTAATGTTTTAATCAAACTATATTCATGTTCAATATTTCAAAAATTAACATGTTCAATATTTTAAAAATTAACTTCTGGCATATTCATTCAAATAGTTTCAGTAAGCAGTTCTTTATATTGAACATGTAATCTGAAAATGATATTGTAATTAGTATGCACTTAAGTATAAAAATAACTTCAACTAAGAACACTGTAATATGCAATTACTTGTCATATGAAAGCACTATGATATAAAAATGAATGTGCCATTCTAAGCACTAAAAACACTGTAAAATGCATTGTCATATGAATGTGCATTCATTTGTAATATTGAACATGTAAGTACACTTCTGTATATTGAACATGTAATATGCACTAAGTACACTTCTGTAACATCAAGCACTAAAAACACTGTAATATGCACTAAGTACACTTTTGTATATTGAACATGTAATTTGAATTATAAGTACATTCATTTGTAATATTAAAACACCAGAACAATACCAAGCCAACTGTAATTCAGCTCTCATATGTAACACATTCATTCAAATTTAACAGATATTGACAGCATGCCTAAAACTAAAAGAGGGAGACCACAAGTTGGTGAAAATTCCAACCCTCCACGACGCGAAGAACAGCAACCTCAAAATCAGTCATATCCTACTGATGATTTTCTCAATGAAAGTCATGAACTAGCCTTTCCAAACTTCTCCAGCCGACCTATTGTAACAGAGAGGAGGGTAAATCTGCCACCTCAATATGATGCACTATTAGTTAGTAAACTTGAAGCAATGGGATGGCTAAATTTAATGTATTTGCCCCAAAAGGTATATCCACGGCTGGTAGCTCTATTTTATGTTCACCTAAGAGCTACTCAGGAAACAGATGGAAATTTTACTCTTTTGTCATATGTGAAAGGAAATGATATACAGTTTGATATTCCTGCTTTGGCAAGCATTATTGGAGTTGAGGTAGGTGATGAAAATATCCATTTTCAGACTGAGGCTGAGTTAGCTAATATTGTTGGTAATGCTACTGATGTATATACTACTATTTGTCAGAACAAATTTATTGGGACTAGTTTACAAGCAAGACATTTAAAACCTTATCTTCGGATTCTCCACCGGTGGATTGTAGAAAATGTCACTCCAAAAAAAGTACATCATGATGCGGTCCCATATTTTAATGCCTATTTGTTATACTGTTTTGAAGTTGGCCATAAGTTAGATTTATGTTACATAATTATGAAAGAAATGATATTCGCAAATCAAGGTCAATTAACGGGCCGGTCATTACTGTTTGGGGCACTGTTGACAAAAAATTTCAAACATTTTCTGGTTCGCCTTGTAGATGAAATGGAGATGAAAATCCGTTCACCCATTAATCAGTATACTGTGACCCGTGCTGGTGCAGCCTCCAATTTAATAGGAAGTGTTAATGCTCCAGAAGATTCAGAAGATGAAGTCCCACCAGATGATGGTCCAAAAGATCCTCTTGCCAATGTGATGCCATCAACTAAACAACCTTAATATTGGATTGACTTTTTGGCCATGGAAGAACAGCGTTATAATCAACGCGTTCAATGGGAACATCAAATGGCTAATCAGGTCAATTCGTTGGGTACTCAGTTTGATACATTTGCCACTGCGCAGAACTCATTAATTCAACAATTTGGTGAGTTCCGTATGGACATTGAGCATCGCGTAGATACGATTGAGCATCACATAGATACGATTGAGCATCGCGTAGATGACATATGCCATCACTACTTCCCTCCTCCACCACCACCACAGATAATGACTGTTGATGTGTTTCACATTATGCGTTCGTATTGTTTTGTATTTTGTTATTTTAACAACCTTTTGTTGGGTGAATCTGTTAAAGAGTACGAGTTTAATTAAAACCTATGCACTTATTATGACTTCATATTGTACTTTTCATTTTAATGCCTATTTGACAAAGGACATAATTATGTACATTGTGAAACTGTTACAAAAATGTCATTATTCTGTTATGATTTTCTGGTATAAATTATGTTATAGTAGTCAATGGCCTTCACTTGAAAGATCATTTTAAAGAAGACGAGGTGAATTAAAAAAAAAAACCACATGAACTACAGGCAAAAGATCTCCCTATGCAAAAAACAGGGCAACAATTACGCATTGAACTTGAAATATGGCAAAAATCCATGGCAAGAATTCATAAAACCAATAAAAATAACCAATACAAGGTAGATGCAATATTTTTAAATAATAAAACCAATAGATGAAACCCACTAATACAAAACCTTTCAAGGCAATCTATAAGTTGTTCGAAATAAAATCTGTCATTGAAGATCTTCGTAGTATGCCCTTTGCATAGGATTTAAAATTGTCATGTCCATTGACATTATTTTATGATCTTCATTTAGTTGTTCTCTTTCATTCATCATAGATAGGAGTTTTAGTTGTTCCTCCCTATCTTCAGCCCTTCTTCGACGCTCTGCAGCCTTCTGCTCACGGTGTATCGCCTTTTGTTCATCTCGCTCAATAGTTCTAGCAGAGATACTTGATAACACTTCAACAATTTTGGATTGATTGGCAGCCATTTCATCAAATCTACTATCGTGCGTTGTTTGATTCTTCAACTTCTCTT